TGCAAAGATAAGCCAACATGGGTGAAAACAATACCGTAACAGCTCTGTCTGCCACTCGGACTCATTAAAGGCCAAATTTCTGTATCTGATTTATTTTCAAGCATATCTTTAGGATTTTTTCTATAAAACAAATAGATCTAATACATCTGATGACTCTTATGAGAAAAGTATACCCTTAATCCATTTTTTAAAGATTCTATTTTCAGTCCTGCAGCAAAAAGCAAGTATTTAACAATTTAATCATACTGGCACCTACCCAACCTCTAGGTGAGAACTTCTGGTCTAGATTACTGTACGTTCCTTCGTTTTTATAAAATAGCCTTTGTAAGAAAAATAAATGTTCATGCGCTACTCCTTTAAATAAATTTCCATTTTTATTTGTGTAAGACTTTTTTTTAAGTTCTTTGAAGGCTCTTTTTGCACATGAAATAATGCTTTTTTGAAAATATGCTATATGTATCACGGTTATGAGTTGGTAACTGTTATTCAGGGCTATTTTGTAAAAATAAAGAATTTTGTTATCTAATTTTTTATATTTTGAAAAATTACTTCAACTGTACATTGTTTTGGATCATAAAATATGTAAAATTTGAGAATTATTGATTTTTTTTAGTTGGTAAAAGCTTGGCAAATTAGCTTTTCTTAAAAAGTTTAGCAATTTTTTAACATTAAGCTATTTGTCCAACAATTTTTAAGAGAAAATATATTCTCATCGTGGTTCTTCACTGATTAAGTTGGGGTCTGTAACTATTGTTCGGGATAATATCATTGTAAAAAATTATCTTATACTCAAAATTATTATCATAATACATCATAGAATATATTATGCTATTGCATTAATATCTTAGTACTAAAAGTTCATATGTATGTACTAAACTTAGTAATAGCAATTTAATGTGTGCAAACTAATACAGTTTGATATTCTTTTGTATGTGTGTAGATATTAAAACTATATATGATCTCTCTCTCTTTTTTTCTAGTTCAGAGAAATGTGCTGTATAAAGAAATGAAGAAAATTCGTAGTGTCAAGGATTAATAGTTTTGTCTATTTAAAAAGTCATTTTACTTTTCAGTGTATATTACATCTTACTTCTTAAAAGACAATAAAAATAATAGATTGTAAATCTGAAGTTAAAGTTGTAGTTATTATCTCCTTTCCAGTATACAGGAGTTCAAGGAGCCTGTGGCTTTTTAATTACCATTCTCTAAGTAAATTTAGAACAAATTTTTTTATTTTAATGTCCGTAGTAAAATTTCAGGTATTTCTCCCTAAAAATATGAACTATAAACTGTTGATTTATTGTTTAAACAACAATAAATCAAAAATTTTTTCTTTATTTTTTCAATGATTTGTGGGTCCCGCAGTGGACTGATCGTTAAGACAAGCATCACTGGCTACGGTCAGTGTGCGGGTGGGTGACCACTTGGATCAGTCTGCTTAGGGACCGAGGGTGTGCGGTTATTGGTACCGAAGCGGGGGTGCCATCCCTTCCGCAGAGGATCAAAATTGTGATGGCATGTCTTCGGATCCTCCGGGATGTTTCCCAGACCGTCGCCAATAGCCCATTGTGCAGCTCTAGTGCGACGTAAATTAACAACAACAATGATTTATGGGAGTGTTTTAATCTGTTTCGTTTCTTTAATTGGTAGACTTTTTTAATTTGTTTAAATTTATGGAATAGTTTTGAAGAGAAAAGATCTCTAGATATTATTTTTCATTAACAATTGTTTTTGTATTTATGTTTAAAAAAATGAAATCTTTATTTTATCATGTTTTATTGTTACATTATCATAACAAAATACAATTTCTTATCTATAACAACTTTTTCAACTTGATAAAAGCCACTTCCAAATTTGCTATTATCAAAAATTTCACAGATTTACAGTACTTTGAATTATTAATTTAATAATAATTCACTCATATCATAAATAAATATAACCAGCATTTAAAAAAGTGAATAAATAATTAAACTGTTATAATTAATTTATAGGAACATTAAAATTTCACTTAAATTCAGAAAATTATAATTAACATGATTAGTTTTCTTTATTTTTCAATTGTTAATACACTCTATAAAAAAAAAACAAATAATTTGAAAATGTTAATATAATAATTTTTTTTTTTGTAGTATTTGATTTTGCTGTATAAATCACCATTACAAATACATACAGTAACGCATGATTCCTTTACCAAGATAATAAACAATAATTTGAAGTTTTTACAAAACAGCACAAAACTTAGAAATATAGCATATATCAAAAAGACTTTTCATATGTTAACCAGGAAATATACTTTTATTCATCTTGTTTCACAGTGGGGACTTTTCTTCATAGTTATTAGCAGTTTAATACTCAAGTAATTTGCATGACGAAAAATGTTGTCATGCCTATTGCAATAGCAGTTCGTAAATGATCGAATATTTGGTCATACCTAGTTAATAGATAAATGGAGATATAATTTAAATAGATTAGTGGAGCAAGTGTATAATGCAGTTTTTAGATATTTTTTAATTCGAACTTCAAATTTTTGTTAATATGTTATATTCAAAGTGTAAATATAGTTGTAAATTATTCTTAAAATCAAGTATTCCATTTAATCAATAAATTTTAATTGGATATCCAAGCAACTAAAATATAATAAAGTGGATTGACCTTTTTACATAATTGAGTTGCATTATTTGCAAACAGATGCATAATTTCAATTTAATTTTCAATATTGGGTTTATTAACTGCTGCATTTAATCAATACAGTAACTAACACGTACAGTTATCAGTATTCTTAACAGTAATAAATGCTTCAATTAATATATCATTTTTATCTTTGTTTATAAATACCATTAGTAAAATCCATAAGATTTTTTTGAAACTTAATAAATTGAAATTTTTTTTGAATGTTATTAGTTTTACTGATGGATCAAAATGTTTGCAAATGATGTATCAATCAGCAAAAAGAAAAACAAGCATTAAATAGTAAGGTAATTAACACAAAGCCAGTTTTGAAAATATATTTATAATTTTTAAAATTGCTAAAAGTACTCATCTAATAGTAACAATGATTTAAAATTTCAATGTAAAAATATCATTTTTTATTATTTTCAATAGGCATATAAAATATGAAGAAGTTTTTATGTATTTAAAATATTTACAAGTTCTTTTGTTTGTTATTAATATATTAAAATTTCGAGAAACATTTCCTTTTTAGAGATTTATGTTTGTGAAATGCAACTGAATAAAACAGAACTAAGTACTTATTTTGTAATAAATAAAATTAAAAATAACAAATGTGTAAAATAAACAAAATAAATATAAATAAGTTGTAAATATAAAATAAATCTATAATTAAAATATCTCACATCATACTGTATCAAGTCACTTTGTGTCCATTTAGAAGGTTAAATATTTTACAATAATTTGATATATCCTAAATTAAACTTAATTTTTTCTAATAAAGTGTAAAAAAAAGTAACTAAAACATAATGACATAAACAAGTGATGAAAAAAAGAATCACACATCTTCAACTGAAAAGTTCACAGTTTTGGCAAACTTACTTCGCTTTCAAACACATCCATGCAATAATACCTTACAAGCAATGATTAGCTATGATATGCTTTAAAAACCTTTAAGTTATAGCAAGTATCACATGAACATTAAAGCAACTACTTTTCTATTCTACTTTCAACGACAGCTTTATAAACTAGACTTAATACACATAATACTATCAAATATGAGATAGTAAAATTTATTTGGACAGATACAAATTTCACTTGGGTAACATTTAGTATTTTAATATCAACTAAAAGTAGAGGTTGCCCTTTAAAAAAAATATTTATCTTAATATAACCAATATGTGACATATTTCTTCAATAAAAACTATAAGATTAACAAAGTCTTTAACTAGTTAAATATTTGAATGTATAAGCTTTCAATTTGGACAAAAAGTAGAGCTCAATTAAGTAAATGATGTGAAATTTGGCATACCTTAGAATTGCCAATTAATTTCACACACAATTTTTATTCAGTTTTCTCTTGACTAACTATTATGGTTTCTTTACAATAGCTGTGGGAAAAAACCGAAGTGATTGGATTTAATAAAACAAATACCTTTTTACCCATTCACTGATTTTTTTTTAATTTTCAATTGAAAGTTTTTAAAGAACTTTATTATAAAATCAGACAAAATAAACTTATTGATTCTTTCTGGAAATCAGATTTTCAAATTCTAGAATATGATAATCTGTTATTCAGGGGTTATATTTTGTAAAGAAAATTTTAGGACTTATAATATTTAGACTGGTTATTTCTATGTTACTAAATTAAGACAGCAAAAGAGCTGTTTCTTGTAGTCGTCAAATATTTACTAAATTAAAACATAACTTGCAGAAAATTTTCTGATAAATTAATATTTATCTGCTTTAGTTTTAAACCAACACTCTAATTATAATTACAAAAATATTTCAGCAGCATTTTTTAATTATTTGTAACTTTGTTCAGAAATTAATTTAAGTTTCAGAAATTATTAATCCGGTGCTTCTTTTTAAAAAGCTCGTTTCTGTAATCAGCACAAAATTATTCATAGTTCCAGAAATTTGCTGCATCAAAAGAACAAAAAACATTTCTGAATATTTTATAGGGCTCTGGCAATAAAATATATTTAAATAAAAAATAAAATTCGATAAAAAAATGTTTTCACTAGAATTAAAAATAGAATTATACTAGTGTTTCGTGATACATAATAATATACATATGTATTACAATATCTAGAGAAAACTGATGGTACATTATAGTATTAATTAATTTTTAATAATAATATGTAGACTGTAAAAGCAAATTTGTCAAAGAATATGGATTCATAGTAGAATACATCTTTAAATAGATGTACATTTTTTTTAAATAGTAAAAAGATCGGCCCCTCAAATTTATTGCTATTGATCAGAAATTTTAATAATATATTCAAATCTTTAGATGAAATTTATTTTTTGTACTACAAAAAAAAATTTGCCTGTTTTAAAATTACTTAAAACATTTTAAATAATTTTCTCAAACATTCCAATTTAAAACATATGGTCATGACTTGGTAGGAAAAAAAACAAATTAGAATAAACTTAATAAAAATAATTCAATAAGCTTACAAGTTTAAAAATTTTTTTTTTTTTAAATAATCAACTAAAGCATTAAAAATGAAATAATAATAAAATATATGTTTGTCAGTAATAGTTGGCCTTTATAAACTTTTACAATGAATAAAATTGTGTTGCAGTCGAGGATTGCATTTCAATTTGTCCCATTTTAAATTGTAAACGTTGCAACCATTTCAAAAATGTTGTGCTGATTGAAGCAGCTTCTTCTGGGGACCTTGAAGGAGGGCAACAGCTCACACAAGCTTGTAGTCTCATTTGCAAATTTCCGGACAACTATGTAAAAAAATTTAAAATATTTTAAATTTACAAAACTTAAAAGACATTATAGTGTAGAATTACACAATTAGTAAAAAATATTTTATAATTAGCGAAGATTTTCAACACAAAGAAAAATGCTTACAATGAAAAAATTATTAAATAAAATTAATGTGAAGAAAATAAAACTAACAAAAAGAATGATTTATTAAATGATAAAATCTACTAATTTACTTTTTTACGGTAAATTTAATCTTTTATAAAACTTAACAGTTGCTGATGAATAAATTGAAACTGGATTTTGTGCAGAAAAATTAAGTGATAGCAGTTGATTAAGAATTAAATTTTTAAGAAGTATGATTTTTTACATAACAAAAGGACAAATGTTTTTATAAAGAATAGAATGATGAAGAATAATGCAGCATTATCTTTCAGAACTAATAATTTAAACATGAATCTTTTGAGAAAGTTTTCGTAAACTCATTTCAGGGTAAGGCCTTGTTAATTTTCAGTATAGGTAACCACTTGTTCTTTGTTAATTCTATGGAAAAACATGGAAAATTTGATATGAATTTGTATACATAATAAGCTTGATTAAGTTGTAATATAAAACAACAATTGTGTTTTTAATTCTGTCTAAAGGAGTAACTACAAATCAAACCTAATCATAATTTATTTAGACGAAAGTACTAAGTGTTTTAAGTAGAGTTGATATTTTCAACATTTCTTAGCAAAGGTATACTTTTTTTACATAATTCTGAAAACTGTAGCTGTAATTCTTGTTTTGAACAAATTCTATTATAGATATAATAATAAAGTAATTTAAAATCACATTTAATCACTAAAAAACTACTTTTTAAAAATTATTTAAATTCAGATTTAATTATATATTATTAAGAATTAAAAAAAATAATAGATGTTAAAAGAATTCAAATCTGAATTCTTTTAACTTCGGTTTAAAACCAGGAAACTAAATTTATTCGTCAAACATTTAAAGAACCTTAAAAGCAATACAGAAAACATTTGCTTAATTTTTATAAGAAAGAAAGATTATTGAAATCTAGATGTATTTTAGCATGTGAAAGGAAGAGAGAAAAAATACAATTTACTTACGTGTCCTTGAAAACTATACAACACTGGTGTCCACATTGGTAAAAGCTGGAAAATGAAATGAAAATTGAGTTCAGTAAAAAATTATTAACTTAAATTTAAAATAATTTCAAAATATTATATTAATTTAGAATTTCAAACAGTTATACTAGTTAAAATGAATAAATCANGTAACCCCTACCCTCACATGCATTCAAAATGTTCTACCCTCGAAGCAGGATCTCATTCTAGGCGAAAGACATACTTTTTAACAGTGGATATTTTTCTAAGATATAAAAATTGTTCCAACCAACTAGTGATACTAGAAATTAAGGACTTTTAAGAACCTTGAATTAAAATTAAGTACTTTTAAGGGCCCTTAATTTTCAAAATAAAAACTAAGCAGTTTTTAAGGATTTTTAAGGAGCGTGGGAACCCTGTGTAACTATGAAAATTTTTGTTTAAAACAGTTATTGATGCGTAAAAACTTACTCTGGCAAGTATAGTGGAATTACACTCTTGCAAAGCTTCCATCAAACTCAAGAAATGTAGACTAACCATTTCTGCCAACTAAAAACAAATTTTTTTATACCGTTAGACCTTTTAAACAGAATAAAATATGAAAAATGCAATCAATAACAATTAATAACCTTTAACATAATATTATTTAATTATAAACTTAGATAAAAAAATGCTTTGTTACGTAAATTTATTTATTTTTATTAACATTAAAATAAAAACTACAATTTTTTTAAATAGTTTTTCTTATTACGAAATAATTAACAATAATTTATAATATAACTATAATTATAATATATTATGAATATAACTTGTTACATTTGAATTTCATAAATAACAATCTGATGTATTTTGTGCTTTTTTTCCAAGTATTCTTTGTGAATATTATACAAAATTATTATATCACTTTTTAAATTTTTGTTTAGAAGTTATTTGTTTTGTATAAAAACATCCTTAACTTATTATAGGGAAAACACTATAAATTCAGGATACTAAAAATTTGTTGCATGCAGATCTACTACAACAATATATCTTTATTTTCACATACAAAAAACATCACAACAAATTTTAATAAAAATCAGAATTTGAAAAAAAAAAAAATAAAAATCTAAAAATATATAAAGCACACACATAAAAGATGAAAAAGTAGAGAAGAAGCCAACCTGAGGGTACTCTTCCTGAATAGTAAGAATGAAAGAGAATAGAAAAAGAATTGAGAATATAGAAAAAAGATACAATTGCACAGAGAAAAATATAAATAGGAAACTAAAAAAAAATGAGCAGCAAAGCAATTAAAATTTAAGTGAAAAACTACTAAACACACAAAACACTATACAATTTTACTAAAATATTCATAAAACAAGCTTTTGTTCTAGTGGGACACACAATTTAGAAACAATACATTTAAAAATGTTCTTTTTACACACACAAGAATGTAAAACATACATAAGAATTACATTGAAATATGGAAAAAATTAAATGGAAGAAATTTTTTTTATTCAAAACTATTGTTTTTAAATTATAAATTTCTAAAGTGTTTATTTTATAGGTATGTATAAAAAATTAAGTTTGCCACAATTCTACATCTTATTTAAATAGAAAACATTCAAATGAATAAAATATTAATATTTTAGCTGTTCAGATAGTACATTTACTAGTGGCAGCAAAAACAGTGCTTTGATATTTTAATAAAATAGAAACAAAATAATTATCTCCAATTAAAATTATCAATTTCTTAAGAACAAATTGTAGCACACACAAACGGATTTTAACACTCAGACATTCTACATGCATAAATAAAAGTATGTCTAAACAATTTAGTACAATTTACATTCTAATTTTGCTGCATTTAAAAATAATCAGGAAGAAATAAACAAAAGGCACATACAGCATTACTGTCCATATAAACAATTAGTATGAACAATTATCAATTACGGTAATAAAATAGTATTTACTTTTGAATGGCAGACTAATTGAAGTATTCCTGGAGTTACTTTAGCCCAGAAATCAGTCAGAGTTAAGCCACAAACTTGATTTTGTTCACTACCTGGTGGATTCAATGCAACCATATGTTCACAATACATAGTCCATAACTGAAATATTATAGAGATAAATATTCGTTTATACTACAGCAAGAGTTTCGAAATCAAACCAAGCTTATCTTTAAAGCAAGAAAATAGTATAGAACACAAAATAATAAAAAAAGCATTACTTCTATATATTACTATTACTTTAAACTTGGGCTTTTAACAAGAGTCTACCTTATCTTGAGAGAGATAAAAAAGTAATAGTTTAATACAAATTTGGGAAAATCCATAAGATGGTAATTTGTTGCTAACAATTATGGATATGGTTGTTCCAGCAGATAAAATTTTGCAGTTTAAACATTTATGGGGTCAAAATAATGCACTGTAGACTTCATATATAATTAAAACATTGAAGAAAATTTGAAACACTATGATGATAAAAAATGCGAATACAAGAGCAAATAAATATATGTCATTAGCTCGAAAAAGATTCAGACCTGCCAACAATGGAGAAATAAAACAACGGAGATTTTACTAGTGACATTTTTTAGACTATGAGTAAAGTTTTGATACATCATACATAATCATGTAAGTCAAAGAGAGAAATTCAAAATTGGAAATAATATAAGCACTTACATTTGGCGAAATAAAAAATATGCATATGTATGTTAATCTAAAAAATATTTTTTTAAACCATTATTTATAATTACTTAAACTATTAACACTCAACATACTGCAGTGCTGGCTATAGCACTGTCTGTTGAGGAATAAGAGAAGTATTTTTGCCATCAACGAATATTTTATCTCCATTTTCTTTAAAAAAAATGTCACCAAATACGGCGGAATTTGAGAATATACCGGAAAACAGGAGATAGTGGTAAAATACAGGAGTTTTCGTTAAAAAAACAGGAGACTTGGCAGTATGCTATTAATATAATTTTGATTGAGAGAAAAACTGAATATCATCAGCAGGTGTTATACAAAGAAACTACTGTAACTAATAAAAAGATGATACAGCCGACGCTCTTTAGTATGACCTTCTATTATATTGGCCCTTCAATCATAATGAACGATACATAAAGTCAAATTATCTATCCCTCAGATGCAATGTTATTTTAATGCCCATTTAACTGTTGATACCAAACTGTTCATCCCAAAATAGCACCTGAAATTTATTTCCATTTTTACATTATATTCCTTTTATATGAAAAACACAACAAAATTAAGTGTCAGACATTTTTCTGATTTATAAACCAAATACTGCAATTGAAAATTAGTAACAGGATTTAACTAAAGTTTTGAAGAAATCATTATTTATTTTGAGGTTGCAGCACATTACATGTGAAGCATCTCGATTTACATGCTCATGGAAAAAGGATCACTAACTTTATAATTACGCTATAACCCTACGTAATTATAAAGTTAGTGAACAATACCACAAATATTTAATCATAATTAAAAAATATTAGACTAATATGGACAAAACAATGATACATTTTTATTGGAAATAAATAGAAAAACTGATAATAACGCAGCATATTAATTTTGCCTTACTTGAGATTATCCTCATAATTTTCTTACCTGGCACAAAATAAATGCATGAAATAGGGAAGACATATGCAGAACAGAAACCTAAAATGAGAATTAATATAAATTATTCAAGTTACAATATATTAGATATTAATCAATGTTTTTAAGGTCTTATTGCTTTAAATTCAAAAAATATTAACATTGCATAGTTATTTTTTGTTATGACTGAATAAAAAGCACTAATAACATTAAACAATTAATTTTGAAAATCTAGATTTGCAATGAGCAGATGCATAGAACAATATAATAAATATAAATCGTTATGTAAATAAGTCAACTAATTTAGGGTATTGATATAATTTTCTATAAGAAACTTTTTTCTTAATGTGTGTTAGCATAAAGAGATTTTTTGAAACCTAATTTTTGTTTGAAAATCCATTTAAAGTATGTAATTGCTATTCTATTTCATTTGCCAGCATATAGAAAAACAACTATAACTTTAAAACATTTTGTAGTGTATCTACCACTACAAACATATAATTCCAATTCACTAGAATATAAGACATGATAACTTGATTCTAGGGTGGGGTACCTTGTCATAGATGAAGGTCGACATTGTCGATAACTACTATACCTACATTGGTGACCCGGATGTGATGTGAACACACCTACCTTGAATGAAACTCCCACTATGATTTGAACACGCCTTTTTCAACTGATTGTCGACATTGAACAGTTGACTTGCTACTTGTGACATTATCCACCTCCTCGCACTGTTGCTACTCAGCCTCGATCACACACAACGTCGGCAAATATACACTCGATTGCTAAAGGTAACACAGGAGCGACCACGATCATGAACTTAAGACAGCTCTAACGATCAGCACTCAAAAAGTACCATGATCTTAATACAGTCGTCCTAGCTTCTCATAAAACAGCAATAAATCAACTAGTGGTATCTGTTCCTCCAATTCTATCACAGATTCAATTCTGGTGGCGGAGTACTGTAGCGTAACCAGCACTACAAACATATAATTCCAATTCACTAGTATATAAGACATGATAACTTGATTCATTATTGATAACTACTATCCCTACACATTTAAAGAGATTTGGAAAGCTAATGCACCAAAATTCATAAATAGACAAAAAAATAAATTTTTGTTGAAATTTCTGATTTTTCCAGACGTCTCTGATATTGGAAAGTATGTTTGTATAAATATAAAGCAAACTTATTGATGAAGATGCTCAGATAAATTCTTCAATATTTCACTAAATATTGACTATCACTTAAAAACCTAATATTCTTACCAGTATTTGAGATACCTATTTAATCAATATTTGTTTGAATTAACTTAATTTTAAAATTCTTCAAAACATAATTATCTTAAAAAGCAGAAAATAATTATTATCACAACATTATTACCTTAGACTGTTCAGAGAATCCAGCTAAAATTACTTGAATATGTTCAGCAATATGACTGTTCGCTTCGAGAGGAATAGGTTGACATGGGGAAGGCGTTTGCATCAAAGCACTGTGAATGAGTGCACCAAGTAGAAGCCACGATAATAGACGGATATGACTAACACAATCAATAAATTCCTTGGGACTGAAATTAAAAAAAAAATATTTAACACTTTACTGAATGGTTTCATGTACCAGTGAAGAAAACCAATGCTTTCCAGTGAAGAAAAACTCTGCAACATGTTTTTTTTTTAATGAATAAAATTTTTTTTTGATTCCCTTATTATAATACCTTTTAATATTAAAGTAAACTGTTCACTTACTAAACAGATTTTTAAATTCTTCTATTTTTTTCTTTTGTAATAAACATAGTAAAAATATTTGCAAGTTTTTTTTATAATTTATGAATGTTAACAATATTATTCTAAATATAATTTTATTTTTACTTTCTATTACTGTAAGAACCAATACATAATCAAAAAGGTGCTGCCCTAATAAAATTACAAATTTACTATACAGCTACAGCAGAATAAATACAAATAATTTAAAACAATCATAAAAATAAACTCTAATTCGAATATTTTTTTTACAGAATTAGTTTTAGGATTGATAGTATTTAACGAAAACTGAAAATCAGTTAAGTTTAGTTCTTATTGCTTTAGTTTCACAAGCTAAAATAATGCTAGAAAATTTCTCAACTTAGATTGAATGTAGAGTTAATAACAGAGAAGAGTCACATGAGGCTATACTGAGTCAAATCTAAAATAAAGAACATACAATATTATGTACTCAAAGCAAAAGATAGTGCATTATCTGATTTCTAAACAAAACTATATCTGATGTTAAAACAAAAGGGAGAAAGGGGATAATAAAACAACAAAAACTAAAAAAATAAAACAAATGAGAAATGGAAAAAAATGGTTACTATGGCACCTTGCAGTCAAAAAATCTGCATTTAACTGAAAGTAGAATCTAAGAGTTTAAAATTTCAAATATGAGTATCATTAATATGACTTTTATAACTCATTAATATAAAAATTATGAAATTTTAAGAGTTCTGTTTTTTACATTATGAAATTAAAATAATTAGCAAAAACATTAAAAAAATCATCAAAAATAAAATAAAAATCAAAGATTTAAATTAAAAGCATTTAACTTAAATCCAAATATTAAAAAAATTCCATAAAAAAATTAAATGATTACATGAACGACCTTTTTCAAGTTTTTTAAGAAAAATATTTTTTACTTTCAGTGAAACTTAAATATTCTTTTAGTTCAATATTTTTAGATGATTATAAAAATTAAACTATGTGTCAGTTAGAGAGAAAAAGAGTAAATATTATTAGTAAAGAAAAAAATCTTAACATAAAAATCATCTTAAACATATAATTTTCAAGCAAAGATTTCTAAGCCTATGCTCTGTTTATTTTAAAAACAAAAACCATATGTTTACACTACAATCAAATTTCAATGTATTAAAACTTACCCTTGCTGAATAGCTGTAGGAGGATGATATAACCAAGGGAGATAGCGACTAATAGCTCTATTGTCACGACCATTATTTTTTGAAAATTCAACAGCTAAATATTGAGAAAGGCCAGCTTTTAAATGTCCACCCAAGGTTTCTTCATTCAAATGAGTTGAATTACCATATAACATATTCTATAAAATAGTATTTTTTTAAATTAAAAAAATTGATCTTTATTTCTTTTCCTGCTTATATATATGACATATCTTCCTATAAAATGCTGACATGAATAAAAATATATGACAAATGTTATATGTTTCTACAAAACAATAAAAGACTATTTATATTGCAAAGCAATGCATTCATTGCTAATGAAAAATTCAAAAAACTGTGTTTTGAAGGTTTATTTTAGAATTTTTTTTTTTACATAATAATTGTTTCAAATATTGAAAAGTAGATAAATTTTACAAATTTCAATTGAAAAAAAAATTGCAAAATCAGTAATTATAATTTTATTTCTTTTTTCTGATACTTTGTGGCTAAATTCAATATAAAGAGGAATAATAATTTTATACATATATATATATATACACTTTTAACATTACTTAAAAAAATTTGGCTTGGTAAATTATTTTTGTAGTAAAATTCTAAAACTGAACTGAAAAAACCTGATAAATTTTAATTTTTAAAAAAATTAAGTTTAAAACAACATTATAAAAAATCTAGAGGTACAACTTTAATTACTCAGAACAAATTATTAAAAAATTGAATATATTAATAAAAATGTCTGAATGAGATGAAATAAAAAAATAAATAATTACCTTCACTTTAGTGAGAGTGTGAACATCAGAGACAAATTCAAGTGTGTCATTTAAATAAGTCTGCATACATTCTCCCGCTGAAGTTTTATACTAGAATTATAAATTTGCGTCATAAATTTTATATTTAAATATATTTTAAAAATTAAAAAGTAATTTAATTCATTCAAACATAATTACTGAAGATTGAGCCTCATATCCAACATTTGCTCCTTCAAGGATAACATTTGGCGCCAAACGGCCTCCACAGTCAGCTAAAACAAACTAAAAATGAAACAAAAATTAGAAAATACAAATAATAAAATAATTTGTATACATACACACACATTTATTTAAAAAAACATATTTATTTGCACGTATGTGTATGTATATATATGCAGGCATGCACAAACGCATATATCATTGAATAAGTAAATTTTTTTTAAAAATTAAAATGAATAAATATTTTAAAATATCATAAGAAATTAGCTTTAATTACCTGCACCAAAGTTAAGAGGTTTGCATCAGGAACAGATGTTTTAAACTTCAAAGCCTGAATTAATTCAAAAACAGCAGTTCTTGTAAGAAGTGTTTTATCACGCTCCTAAAACAAGATTTCAAGACAAATTATATTTACACTGAAATTAACAATTAGTAGATTTTTTAAAGAAATATTATATCAATAACAATTTAAATACCCAATTATTAGTCATTTCTATTCAACTCTAGGGCTAATTGTTTTATAGTAAATTTGATGAAATATCAGAAAGCAGCCAACATTAATTAGTTACAATGTTTAAATTTTAGTTAATCTGATGATTAGTAATATTAACCTAATTACTGCATTTTAATTTTAAGATTTTGTAACAAATATACATTTAATAAAATTTCAAAAAATAAAAGAATTTTTTAGAAATAATTTTCTTTTTTATGTGAACACATTACAGCATAAGGTTCGTTTCTACAATATTTGCTTTTCTACAATATATTCATTATAAATATTTACAATAGCTGCCAAAATAAAAACAAAATTCATAATAAAAATATCAAGCAAAATCTGTGAAAATCAGTTACAGTTTTTAATGAATTTCAGCTTTCATGCAGTTCAAGTAAAAAACCAGTTTTCCTCATGTTATTCAATGGGAAAGTAATGTATAACATGATGGATATTTCTGTACAACCTAGCCCAAAGACTTAATGATTGGAAGGTTATAATTCTAAATTTATTATATTACATACTTGGTTCTAGTAGATAAACAAATTACTCCCAGCAATATAACTTTAGTTTAATCTACCTTTTATGTGAAATAATTATAGTCAAATCAATTTTAAATGAAAAAATATTAGCTGCATAATTTAAAGAGTAATAATAGTCAAAATTTCATTTAATCAATAATAAGTTATTTACTCTGATAAATAGCTAGTTGAAACATCTAATTGTCACAAGGTACTAGGGTATATTTTTTCATAAATGCCTTAACTAAATGTAATTTTTTTCTATTGAATGTTAGAGAAAAAATTGGATCGTTGTTCGAAAATGTAAGTGGGTTTATTCCCATTGTGAATTAAACTCAGAAAAAACAATTAAAAGTTAACACAAACTGCAATTAATATAAAAAAATTGTATAAGAAGCCTTAATAAAGCTTAACTAAATTATCAATCTATAAAATATTAATTAGTTTAAAAATTCAAAATGAAACTCACTCGTGCATTTCTATTGCAAACTGTGCAAAGCTCAGAGAGTTGATAGTAATCTATAGAGGAATGCTGTATAGTATGACTAAGTATCTTAGAGAAAGGATCTAAAATAGACTATTAAACATTTATAAGCATTAGTTTTTTATTTTAAACAGATGGACAATATTATTACTAATTGTATAAGTTAAATAAAATAAACAGGTTACTGAGAGCTTTATTTGTTGAAATAATCAAATGAAAATGTTTTGAATGATGGTTAAATGAGGTATATGAGGTTTAAAGAAATTACACTTAATAAATTCTGTCTTTTAAAAATTGTTTATTTATAAAATAATTTTTTTAATATTTAAGTTATTTTTCATAAAAGCATATTTTATGTTTATTTCTAAAATTGCAATGCATTTTCTACGTGTTAAGATTACTTTTAATTAAATGCTTTAAATCTCTGTATGTTTTATGTTAATGTTTATATTAATTTTGATGTATGTTAAATGTTTTGTTAAAATGATGTTTTATTAAATGTTTCTATTAATTTTGATGGGGACATTTTTTACAAGAAAACTATATAAGAGTGCATGAAAGTGTAACTTTCCTTATTTCTTTGTTGAATGTCGAGGATTGTTAAGAAACTTTTAAAATTTAATCTGACAAAGTGCATATGATCAGAAAAATAACACCTTATAGAGATGTTTTCATAAAACATTGTGGGAACTTTATCCCAGAAAAGCTTGAAATATAAAACTGATACAAACTCTTAATCTATAGGAGAAATTATTATGTGAACTATAAAAATGTAAAACTATTTTAAAAAATATCGGTTTTGAATCCCCCCCCCCCCGTAAACAATTAGCGTAATTAAAACACACATACATCTTTAACAAAGTTATCAACTTAATTCTAGTGCATAGGAGAATTACATTTGAGCTTTTATGAAATTATTCATAAAGCTATCTAATAATCACTTTTTATTTTGTAATACATTGTAAAAATTCTCGTTATTTATGATAAAGTTCAAGGGAGGTAAGCAGAAAATACCTTTAAATACTTTCATTATTGTGGGGATTATTAACTCAATTTTTATTTTATTCAAAAGTATACATGATTTTTTTACTTCCATTTCTGTCTGTTCATTCATAATCATGACTAGGCCAATATTATTGATTTAAAACTTTAAGCATATTTATAAAAAGCGATATATGAAAATTAGCTAATAGTTAAGCAAAATATAGACGGGGGAAAAGAAATTGTTAATACAAATTTTTTGCTTCGTTTAAAAATATTAAGAAGCTAATGTTTCTTCAAATCTTATTTTTATATTCTGCATTAACCCCTTTTTTTCCGCTCACGTGAAAATGACGGGGTGAGGTTTCTCCCTCTATTTCTTGCTCCCGTGATATTTCCGGGCTGGAGTGTTCAGTAGTAACGCGCCAATAAGAATAAAACTAATTCATTCCTCTTGCCCCGAAAAGATTTTATTTCTCATTTTACACACCAGATGGCAGTGCCAGGATATTTTGAAGGTAATTGTAGATAGTTAGTTTATTGCTCCAGAAAAGATGAAAACAATAAGAGATGTAGAAAGGAAACTCGGAACTACTGTCCAGATTGTCACATTGGCCTCTGTATTTCATGTTTTGAAATTTATTACACAAGAAAAAATTACCAATCTTTATTTATATTATACAAAAGTTTAAAAAAATTCTTTTTTAATGTTTAAAACACATATGTTTAAAATTTTCCTTGCTTGCTGGAAAACCAACAATAAGTTATAGTAATGTTAATTATGTTGGCTTTTCCTAAAAATGTAATTTTTTAAAATTTCAAGCAAAACACAAATCAAAAATTAAAAAAGTATATATATATTGTTCATACACATACTTTTATATAATTTTCAGGAATAAAAAAATAGGCACTTTTATGACCGTTTTCTTGAAAATTCCGATTGTTAAGGGGTTAAATAAATTGCCAGCAAATGTTAAATTGAAATAAATTTCAGAAAATGATAAATAAACAAACCTTTGCTTCCCTAATAACTGGAAGTTTTAACGCACAAAGTATAATTTGCAACACACTATTTAGTCGTATAGGTCCAGGAGATAAAGTAAAGAGAATTTTTCGTAAAAAGAGATCTAATTGCTGAAGAAAAGATGCCCATTGAGGCATGTTGCTTTCCAATGGCAAATAATCTAAATAAATGGCAACATTATCTAGCATGTGAAAAATAACTTCAAAATGAAGGTGTTTTCTTTCATTCATATTCTGCAATGAAAAAACATATATTAGCTTATCCTATTATATAGAAATTAAAATTTGGATGATGAATCCTTATATAAAACAAAACACAAGGCATTTTTGTTGAAAAAAATTTAATAATTAAATATTATTTATTTTGGCTATGCTAAATATAATGAGATTGTAATACTTATTCCCAGAAGTTAAATTTTTTCAAACACCAAAGAATTATCATGATGCAATTATACAAACAATTATTTAAATGTGGCATAAATATGGTATTTTAAATTTGAGAGCAAGCCTTTTATTATAATTAATACTAAACACTATATTTTTTAAATATAAATTTTAAGAGTTGATAATTTGTATATTAATATGCATTTCCATACGATTTACAATACAAAAAATATAAAATTTTAATTGTTTACGTAATGGACAACTAGTACAATAAATTCTAATCTTAAACTGGATAAAATCTGTGAAAAATATATTTAGCATCTACTTAACTATTTTAAAAGATTAAGACAGAATGTAACTATCACACTTATCTAAAGTGGTATGTGATAAATAAGTACAATATATAAACATCTTTCTTTATTTTTTTAACATATTATGTAGAAATGAATGACGGAATCAAATGAACAAAAGTTAAAGTTACCAAAAAAATCTATATAGGACCTAAAAGGAACTATTTAGGCTCTTATTTCTATTTATTATTATTACATTTACAAGCAAATAATTACAAATAAATTATTAAAATTGCAAACAACAAATTGTTATCAAGTTATTGAGAACAGTGGCATTCAATTAAATGGATTGTTCAGAGACATTTCAATCAAAATAAACTTGAAAAATAGTATGTAAATTATACTAAAATATTAGCATTTTAATAACACACCAATGTTACAATTTTCTCCTTTGTCTACAAATATAAATATCCCTCCAACCATGAGGCAAAAACTGGATAAATAAAATAATTCAAAACTGAAATTTTGTAAAATTGAGGCCTAATAGGGGGGCTCACTTTTTTGGAAAGCAATTATAAAAGTTTCACTGAGCAATTCCAAAACTGTTTCATCTAGAGTTCTAACCAAAAAGAAATATTTTTCTTCATGTCTTTCTTGTAGGTTTAAAATTTTATTCCTGATTTTTGTACCATTTGCTTAATCTTTTTTAACAAAAAATAAGTTAAACTTATGTAAAAAAAAAAAAAGAAAATATGTATTTCCTGACATTAAAAAAAAGCAACTTATTTACCTAACTTTCCGAGAATTTTGTATAGAACATTTTCGAAGCTAGTAAAAGGTACTTCAATATAAATGGCACATGGATGAAGGGTAAAAAAGGTTCGAACCATTTATTGATAGAATAATATTTATATACTTACTTCAAACAATGAGATAAGAGGTGTTACTTGATTTAGTTCATTGAAATCTGCAAGAGCTGAAGCCATAGTTTTAAAGAATTCAGGTTCTAAATTTTAAATAAAAATTAAAAATGTTGTATTAAGTTTTTATATTTTATATAATTTAATATAAAAGTATCAAAACTTATATAAAAAAGTACATTAAAATTCATGAACTAACCTAAACAGTGTGACTGAAATATTTGGACAAACACTCCATTAGGAGCTAATTGATGCAGAGTGCAACGTAAAAATTGTCTAGCTACACTCACTGAACCAGCAGGCAGTTGAATAGTACTGTAAAAAGAAAAGAGTTTAAAATTGGACAATATTTTGAGCTAATTTTAATATTTTGATATAAATATTTTAAATTATTTTGAAAATGTAAACATTTAATAAAAAAAAATTTAAAAATATATTATTATAATGGATTAGGCTTATGCTTTCTACTGAACTAAAATTTTTTTAACAGTAATAATAATAGAAATTTTTCTTAAATATTCAAAATTTAGCATGTAGATATATATATATCTAACCAAATATTCCGCAAAAGAGCCGAACACCGAATAATGGCTGAATATTCGTTTCATTCCTTATATATATAGATTGTGGCATAGTAAAAAAGACTTATGGTCTTTGAAAATCAATCAAATAAAACAAAGAAAGATGATAAAAATTTATAATTAGCAGTATCATGCTTCAAGAACTAAGAAATTTCCTCCCGTTAAATTTCACAATCCGTTAAACTTCCTCCCAATAGGTGATAGGTGGCACTGAATAATAGAAATAACTATAATCTGCATGAAAATGATGCAGGGACCATTGGCAAACATCAAACAACGTTGTCTTCAAAGTGTGATATCGTAACTAATGTATGAAATATCATCAAAATCCTTCAAAATTGCTAACTGATTGTGTGGTGATATACTGACAGAGTATGGCATGAATTCAACTTTTTTGCACCTTTCAAATGCCTGCAATGCCCCTATTGCAAGAAGTTTAACTAAATGTTCAATTTGGTAGCATGAAATTCCCTAGTTTCCCAAGCATAATGGAGTAGACCATACATTTTTAGGACACCCAGAATATATATATATATATACACACACATCATAAAAATTAAAAATTATTATCGGAACTGTAATTAAATTAACCACTATTATTATTTATAACAAAAAGAACTAATCAAAAACTCTTCCTTAGTTAAAAACATAATAATTACCTTTCACTTTGCCATGGGTATTTAGGAGTAGCTGCAATTCTGTAAAATTATAATGTATTAAAATTATTATAGATAAATTTAAAAATTTTTATTATACACTAATTCTTTTATTATATTTTAATTTTAAATATATTAATTTTAAAAGGATTTATAAGAATGTTATAAATGAGTTTTTAGGCAAGTTCAATGTTAAAATGTCCAACAAAGAGAGCCTGTTTTCAAAAAATAATAAAGTATATTTTCAAAAACTTTTTTTATTCTGCTTCTCTTGTAATAGTGTAATAATTTACAAAAAATTTTTTTTTTGCACTTTAAGGAATTTGTTTTTTTTTTAACTTTAAAAATCAATTATATGACAAATTCATTTAATTACATATTTTCCAAATGAAAAAAAGAAAAAAAAAAAAAAAAAAAAAAAAAAAAAAAAAAAAAAAAAAAAAAAAAAAAAAAAA